AAATAAAATCTTAACCCTTGCAGTGGGACTACCACTGCACTGCGAGGGTTAAGTGATCGTTTTGTCAAGGGAGCTAAAATAACAGATATTCTCACCTGAACAACATCCCGGCTGGCTGTTATACTGGTCCCTTCAGCCTCGCTCCCCCTACGCTCCAGCAGACTAGGGAACAGTGAGTCATCACATCAACATATTGAATAGGCCGGGAGGACACTAAGGGCTATACCATCGCTTCAGCGGGAGGGGGATGACAAGCTGAAGGAACTGGTCTGAGAGCCAGCCGGGATCACGGTTGAGGCGAGTATAACTTTCATTTTATCTCCCTATACCAAATAAGTACATAATGCTTGCAGTGCAGGGGTAGCCCCACTGCAAGGGTTACTATTTTATTTGCCTGGAGTTCTTTAATGGAACCCCAGACAAAGGAGCTAACTCTTTTCTGCTGCATCCCCTTATATCTTTATTTCAATCATTTAAAGTGACCCTAGTTACCCTTGGACCTTGTATCACTCTTATGCACCTCTTCCCCATTTGTTCAGCTATACTAAAATAATAAAGTGCTTACTAATTAAATCAGTGACCTCTTAAACTGTAGATGCAAATAAAGATGATTACGTGTTTAATGGTTACGTTGAAGCTAAGATCGGTCCTTTTGGAAATTTTTGCTTTTAAGAAGCAGTTGTAGTTGTATTTTCCATAAAACACCTATGGATTCTGTGAGGTTTCCTTTCCATAGCGATGTGTTAGCCTATCCAAAGCTGCTTGAGAACTTAACGGTCTGAAAGTTTTACTTTTTAATCCTCTTTGGCTGGATCCTTGGAAATAAAGTTTGCAGTGCATATTTGGCAGAATGGCTTTTTAATGATAGTAACAGTTTTGGAAACTATGTAGTTTATTGGTTGCTAGATACATCGGTAAGATTACCAGCCTTCGTTTCCGTGTCTTTCTGATTCTTCAGCTTTTCCTGTCATAAAGTCCCCAGCAAAATCTGGAATGCCAGCTGCAATTTTATGAAGCACAATTCCTAAAGAGCTACTAGTAAAGTTATCTACAGACATTCCTTGATCTAACAAATTTTCATGGGACAAAGATACACGTACATGTGCATGCTTGTTTCTATGAAGTGATAAGGAGGAACTCTTATGATACATACTCAGCTCTGGCCTATCTGAAAAAGCTTGAGTGATCAACTCTCCAAACCAGAAGGCAGGGAATGTTTGATGCCATTCCCGATGGCCTACAAGCATTCAGATGTTCCTATATCCCACCTCAGGTGGCTGGATCACCAAATGTCCCCTGATATCTGTAGATGAACAGATGTGTCCTCTGCACTTCTTACAGCATTCACGACCTTGGATTAACAGGAGGTGCTCGCAGTGATGATCGCGGATGGCGCAGAGCATGTCAGACTTGTATAGGGGGAAGAACACCAGCACTCAGAAGGTGTTTTATCAAATCCCTGTGTTCATTTACTGCAAAACAGCGTCTCTTATATCAATATAGCCAACGTTTCGAGGCCGCACATGGTCCCTTCATCAGTTATATTGCGACAGCTAGCAATACAAGCTACTTGGCGGGGCCCAGAAACGTTGGCTATATTGATATATGTGACACTGTTTCGCAATAAATTAACACATGGATTTGTTAAAAAAAACCTTCTGAGTGCTGGTGATCCATCTTATACAACTCTGATCTCTGTAGGCACGTTAAAGGACACCTGTCATAAGAGATCTGTGTAAGCTGCCATAACGGGAATATTAATGATGGTGCGTTGATTGTGTATTGAAGTTCAGTTAATTAAAGTCCTGTACTGGGTGTGATCAGGTTGCATATTTATACAATAAATGCTGTTTCTCTGTCTGAAATATTAATGGCTAAAATACTCTTGTGTGCTCTTTTTTTATTTTTATAATAATAGTCCTGATAAACAAAAAGTAATGTGATTTGTATCTGAAACGTTTTTAATGGCTAAGCCAAGTGGGAGAATTTGGCTGGCCTGTGTGGTGCGGTGTTTGCGTGTGTGTTATAACCCCCTTATCCGTGTTCCCATGTCTTTTTTATAAGGAGTTTAGGTGACTTGGTAAATGTAAACTTAACATTGGATTCCTAATTATACCCCTCAGCAGCTTCTTTAGACTTTAGTACCTTGTATTTACCCGCCAGAAATCGAAGTTGCCCTTGTTGCTGTTGCAGCAGTTGTGCAGTGTTACTGTCAGGTGGAGAATGGAGATCATCACTTGTCCCTAGCATGTCAAATTTAGACAAAAGGATTCTCCTTTAATTGTATCAGGAAGTATCATTTTCTTAAAGGACAATTGGATATAATACATTGTAGTATAGGTATCATATTTCTTTGCATTTCCTAATTGATGAACACATGTTGTAATGGCTTTTTATAAGTCTTTCCTTTTATTTTTTTAAAGAAAACCCACATCTGTTATTCTAAAGTAGCAGACTGTTTCTTATGGACCTTGATCAAATACCCAGCAGCTACAAGCATGATATCTCCAAGTCATATGGTAAAACAGCTGTTGCAGGGCTTCCTTTTTGTTTCCAGTTTTCCTCATCTTGATCGGCACCACATTCAGATGATATATTGTTACATTCTTTGTTTTACTATTTGTCTGCTTTCCCTGCAATTTCATTTGGTACTACTAAATGGAAAAAGTTTTATTGTATTGTTTATTGCCTTTTTTTATTGTTTGTTGGCTTCTGACCACAAAGTTTATTTATCCCTTCGTTACAATACCACCCCATTGCCGCAAGCGTGGAGTCCTAAACACAGTTGTTATATAGACAAGTATACACAGTCCTGTACACACAGTTGTTGTGCAGTGATCCATGTTATCGCATGCAGATCTTGAGGTGTTCATTCCAACTAGACATTGTTTAGCAATTGTGTGTCCATAAATTGCAGCAAAATCAGGGTTGTGTACCTGTACCCAAACATTTTCTGATCAGGGTAGAGCATGTTTTTAAATTCACAATTTTATTTTTTTAAAGGGTAAGTTCAGACATTACTCAAACCTCCCTCTGCCCTTACAGAGCATGTTCATGTATTACATGCATTTTTACCTTGTTCTGTAGTGAGAAACAACTTTTATCACTCTCTATAATATCATCATTAGGTGTATACATTTGTGCAGGCGCAGCTACTGGAAGGTCATTTCCGGTAAACATAGGCATGCTTCCAGTAAAGCATCTCTTAAGAGCCCATTCCCTACACACAATGTGCGGGCAGGCATTTGGGGGGTCAGGGTAGCAGCATTGTTTTGCTGGGAAAGGAATCAATGTATGCATGTGGAGTGGGACATAGATGGGTGAGGAATAGGCAAAGTTCTGTAATCAAGTAGGCAGGGCTGAAAATGCTGGTTGGGGTTTCAGTACAGCAAAGTACTGTGATGTCAGCCCAAACAGGAGGTTAGGAGCACACTGGTTTTCTGGTAGATCAGCTGTTATTTTCCTCTACCTCTAACATTATTAAAGTGATAAAACATGGGGAAATTTGCATGCATTGGAGAGATGTACTAATTACTGTCTAAAAGGAGATTCCCCTCAGAATCTTTGGAGAAATGTTCTTTTACTTCCTATTATGTCATGTAAAGTGAAGATACATCTCTTCAACAGGGCACAGACAGAGGAAACCAAAACCTGATCAGAGTTTCAACCCTTCTACTGCTTGTTCAGAAACAATTGACTATAGATGCAATGTAAGGACAACCCACTAAACTTGTGTCCTT